GATCGGCCGAACCTGCGGACGGGGCAGGTAAACAAACCGGCCCGGCCCGCCAGGGGCTTTCCCTACACAAGCAGCATCCCAAGTTTGGGAAACACTGTACTACAAGATCAGGTCTATAGTTAGCACTGGTTTTTGTAAGGAAGTATAGTCCCAGATTTGTACATAAGGGTAATGTTCTGAAGAACAGAAAATGCTGTGAAGCTTTTCTATTCTTTTACATACACACAAATCCAGGTGAGTTCAAACACCTAAAATATGAGCTTTTCTAAACTGAGTTATGAGTTAGAAGGATTGCAGAATGTAGGCAAATAAATAATTTAGGCTTGATAATACAATAATTAATCTTTGCTGACTGGTGAGAAGATGAATTTAATGCAATGGGCTTCGTATGAACTGTGCACTATCAGCAGAAACTACACTAAAACTAATACATATTTCACTTAAAATTTGATTCTGGATATGAAACATCCTCTGTAGCAGGATGACACTTTTTGCAGTACATAAAGTCTCACACATAATAATAATCATAATTAATACTTTGAACTTCCAGAGTGCCTTTCATCCCATGACCTCAAAGTTCTTTAACGACATTAATAAATTAAGGCTCACAACACCCCTTTGAGATAGACTAAGGATATAAAGCAGTGGTGGGCAACCTGCAGCCCGTAGGCCAAACGTGGCCCGTCAAGGTAATCCACTGGCGGGCCGCCAGACAGTTTGTTTACATTTGCACAGCCACCCGCAGCTCCCAGTGGCCGTGGTTCGCCATTCCTGGCCAATGGGAGCTGCGGGAAGCAGCGGCCAGCATGTCCCTGGGAATTTAGTTGGGCAGATCGCAATTTCCTGGGCCCAGATCTTTGCCCCTGCTGCAACCCCAAAAAACCCTATACAAGAGAGCTCTGAGAAAGAAAATTCCCGCAAGAATCCCCACGTGTAGTTCTGCCTTTATAATTCTATTTGAAGTCGTGGTTTGCCCCCTCACAGATGGGCCAAGGAGCTCACCTCCAAATTTCTTGAGCTTAAGCTCCACAAGGCTGGAGAGGAACAATATACATGTACCTTGTATCCAACCCATCCACTGCTGCCTGCAGCTTGCCTAGCCTAATCATCTTTGGCACAAATTAATTTAAAAATCAGTCAAACACCTTGGGTCCTCGTTGCCTGGCGGATTTTCCCATCAGTTTTTCATCATCTAGTTCACATTGCTCCAGAAGATCCAAAATGTCTTCCTCCTGAAAATGTGAATATGTCTAGGATTAATGCAAAGCGATGTCATTACAAATGACAATTCAAAACATCCCACCTTTCCTCCAAAGGTAAAGTGGCAGCTTGGATTGAGATTTAAAAGTGGTTTTCTGATCAAATAATCACTAAACACCTGTGTGTGCATGAACGTGTATTCACATGCTTCCAAAGACTATTTTGATAAAATAATAACATCTTGATATTAAATTCTTTCCTCTGATGTAAGCCATTCCAGTGGAAATCAACGATACCTGCAAGAGTGCAAGCTGAATTTGACCCTTATAGTTTGTTAATAGCTATTTGTGCGAATGGTTGGACATAATCTTCTGTTAGACTGCTGGTTGATATGTTATTGAAAAGGTTATTTCCCCTAAGTTTGTAATAATTTCTCCAATTTGAACAATGACTTCTAAATCATGATAAATTAGCCACTTGAAGAATGGATATATTTGAAATGGCCATCTCTAGGAATTTCCCCTGAGCTAGGGGGATCCCTGAGGGCCATAGCTGGCTCTATGACAGCTGTTGTCCCACCCAGCTATAGTGGGCATCTCTGAGCAGGCTGGGACCATTACTGGGGGAGAAAGAAGGTAATTATCAGTAGGCAGAGTGGTCTTTATGGGGGTTTATGCCAGAGTTTAGTTTGGCCATGGGGAAGGCTGAGGATCAAGAAAATGGGAAAATGGCTTAAAGCCACTTGTCCTATCTCCACCCTGGGTCTTATGTCCAGTGCAGTTCAGCCAGACTCAGGAATTTGGCCAACAAGCTGCATGAAGAACAACAATAAAACTACAGAAAAATTGTAAAGTGTTGTTATTAATGACACATGAGCAAAGATGGAGCAAAGATGATTCAAACCTGATTCAAAACTTCATGCTGGGTCATGGAATTCCAAGATACATAACTTTAAAGCCAATACTTCTGCACACTAGTACCTTCATTCTTTTCAAAGGGTTATTCCGCTCCCGCTGAAGTGAAGCTGCTCTCCCAGCAAGGAACGTCTGGAAAGCAATGGCTAACAAACTCTCATATTTTTCAAGTAACAGCTTATCATCAGGAGGGTAAATTCGCCTACAATTAGAAAAAATGAAATGGAGACAAGAGTAAAACAAAGTTGAGCTACTGACCACACAAGGAATACAACTAAAGTAACTAATTCACAAAACTCGTTATGTAGGAGATTTATTTAGTCTGTAATTATTATTAAATGCATATTGTGAATAAGACTCTCTCACCTAACTTTAGCTCAGTGGACACATACATGCTTTAGCCAGCAACTGGCTGCTTTAAAAAAAAGAAAGAGAGAGAGACACACACACAGACAGTGCAGGTTCTTCTACAGAAATATCATGACTGAATCTTGGAATACTCACTGAAATTTCAACTTCAGATGTGATTGAGGCATGAAACATTAACAAAATACTGTATTCAGAGGCATGAAATATTTTGTTTTGGAAACAAAGCAATTCAAAAGGATTGAAAATCTTTCTGATTAACTACTATGCTTTTATGGGCCTGCTATAAATTAAATCTTAGAGATGTACTGCATTACCCCAGTAACCCTTTCAACATAATGGACAGGAACATTCACTATTAGAAAAACATTATCTAACAAAGATGCAGAGTGGCTCCGATTTTCCATTATAGCAGCTATGATCATTATTCTTTACAACTGTGGGTAGGAAGATTATGACAATGCAAAACTAGGACTGAGTGATTTATGCACATTTACAAAGAAACAATTGGCTCTGAAGAGAATCATCCCTAATCTACTTGTCAGGAAAAACTGAAGCATAGCCAGAGACTGTAAAACCTGGTGACTAATTTCTAACCTACATTAAGTGGGCAAATGGATTATAATCAGTCAGCATCATGTAACTGGTGTATTTTAGTAGGTCTCTAAGGGTATGTCTACACTTAATTGTAAACCCAGGCTCAGGTTCAGGTTCGAGACCAAGCCCCCTTGCTGTCCACACACAAGCCTTTCTGACTTGGGTAAGCAAGCACACAGGAGCAGGATGTGGGTCCAAGGCCAAGTCCCACTGTGACTCTGGTCCAAGCTGTCGTGGAAAGAATCACCCACGCAGTGATTTTAGTTCACAGACTCAGAGCCTGAGGCCTTTATTGCAATACATACCAGTGCGCACTGGGGTGAGGTCCGAAGACCAACACCCCGAGCCCCACACGCAGGCGGGCTTTTATTCCATTAAACCACAAGCAAGGTACAAACAATACGTCATGAGTTGAGAAATTAGAGACCAATTATAAGTAGGACATGGGGTGAACACGAGCTCGGGAGCAAATCATAGGCCGGGGATGGGGTGAACACGCGCCGGTCACGAGCTAGGGTGTTGGGGTTGGGGTCACTCTTCCCTCCTCCCCTCGCCTACTTTCTTAATTTCCGAGGAGTGGGCGTTCGGTGGTTTTCCGCAGGGGTGGTGCTCGGCCCTAGCTTGGGTACATTTCTTAAGACTTGGTATATGTCATTTTCCGGGGGGATTGTGACAAGGGCTAAGGGGGGCTTTTCAGGAGATGCTTAAAGGGGAACTATTATAGGTTATTTGCAGATAGCTACAACTGCAAGAGTGATTAGCTCTTTGCAAAAGCAATTTCTTAATGTATTTCATAAACTTGCGGTTAATATATTTTGTGTTTCTTTCCTTCCTCTCTTTCCTTCCTCTGTGACTACTTTTGTCTGGGTTTTGGCAGAAAATTGATTTGAGCAGTATTGTTTAGGCTTTTAGGCCTTCTCTACTCTGCACAAAGGTCACCATCATGACAACCTTCTGTTGGAGGTGTTTTGGGGCCTGTAGGCCCAGAACTTTCGCTATCGGAAAGAAGGCCCCCCTGTTCTGTTCCTCCACAAACTCCTGTCATTCTGAAGTGTGGACGCAGCGCAAGCCATAGATCCAAGTTAGAAGATTTGCATAGTACAGTGTGAATGCATTAGCATAGTTGAGAGATTCAGTTCCAGCAACTGTAAGCCTGGGTTTACAATGCAGTGTGCATGCTCAAGCGTAGCTTGGAAACACAAACTCCACTAGTGCAGGTCCCACAAATGGAGGTTTACAGTGCAGTGTAGACATACACTAAGTCTTGTGAATTTTGTAAAAGGATCGCTCCCCTTTTGCCTGCTCACAATGTTTGGCTCCTTGAAAAACTACCTCTTGCAGTGACCTTCACTCAGATGGGGAAGAGTGGTCATGCTCTCACTAGACTTAATTAATATAATCCAGGCATCTGCCAGAGAAGATTGCTGAAGAGCAATCTGTAGCACTCCCTTATCTAGTGGTTGGACAAATGGTCTTCTTTCCCAGCTGTATGTGAAAAAACCTTTGGTTTTCAGTTTTCATAGAATCGCATTAGTCTAGATTCACACATATTGGTTTAAAATAAACATAGTAGCTTTGGTTCAGATATACTCTTGTACAGTTTCCCTTTGCATGCTATGGTGAACATTCAGTGATCTCAGACCAATGGAAAATTCTCCACTGGTCTAAAACAAATTAAAACCTAGCATAATTCATAACCATGCAGCAGCTATATTTTTTGTGTGTATTACAGACAAGACTGTGTCAATGGAGAAATTAGGAGCAACCATAGAAGTTCCACAGAGAGCAAGGGAGAATTAGAGAGGGCCAGGGTGCCCTTAGTGGGGGCCAGAAGTGCATCAGAGAAGGCAAGGGAAATAGCTAGTAGAAACTTCCCCACTCTGTCACAAACGTTAACTTCATTTTTCTTAAAGGATCTCCAAAGCGTTAAGAGGACTGTGAGGGAGAGTGAATATAAGGTTTGAAGACTTATTTCATGAAAAAGGCACCCTGAGCCAGTACGAATCTGTTGGTAAATTTTTTCCCATTAACAAACAAACAAACAAACAAAAAAAAAGCATTGAGACTATATTCTAATGCATAGATACTGGCATGCACAAAACCTCAGATAATTGATTTCTGGAAAATCACTTCTATAATAAATTTGAATTTCAAATCAATATCTTCTTCAGTAAAAATGATGGAGTTGATCCTAAAATCAGTGAGAGTTATAATTGCCTAATAGATGCTCTGTACTTCTCGGGATACTGCCTTATATTTATACATTGAGAAGATAGTGGGCCACATTCTGCTCTCAATTATACAGGTATTATATGACGCCAATAGTGTTACTGTGCATTTAGATCAGTGAAAATGAAGAATCTGGTCCAAAGTTCTTTCTATTTCAGTGCAAGACAAAGGCAGAAGAAAATATGCCTGACTAATATAAAGAGACCATTCGTTCACAAAACAATTACACTTAAAGGTTTAAAACACGTCTGTCAATTGCATTTATTTATTGTTCTTTACACATATAAACAGACTATTAACTGTAAGGTCAAAGGAACAGTCTATTGTGATTGGAAATGCTCCTCTGCTTAAATATAAATAATTTACACATGTTCAGCTAATGAGAAGGTTCATTCAGCAATCTAGTCCCTCTGTTTCAGGTTTTGCTTTAAAGGGACAAATACTGGTCCAATTGAAGTCAGTGGGAGTTATGCAATTGAAGTGAACAGGAACAGGATTTAGCCCTAAGTACAGACCTGTTGGTCTCAGTGCAGAGCAGGCCAGAGCTCCTTGGTAGCAATCAATTTTTTTTAAAGGGGGGAAAAAAGTGGTGTTTCTGCTGATTTAAAAGAGGCCTAACAATAATTTCATTGGAGGGATAGGCATTATAATTCAATACGAGGAAAATATACTCCACTGCAAAGGGCCCACATGAAACCTATACACTCCTTAAGCCCCTCAAATTCAGCAAGGTACTTAAGCACATGCCTACCTTTAAACATGAGTAGTCCCACTGAAGTCAATGGGACTACTCATGTGCTTGGAGTTAGGCACATGCTTAAGTACCTTGCTGAATCGACACCTGAAGATATAGAACCTGACCCAAAACCTGCTGAAGTCAATGGAAAGACTCCCATTCACAGAATCAGGTCTGAAGTCAGTGCAGACATACAAGTTTCTTGTGGTTCTCATTTAAAACACTAATGTCATGCCATGCAACAATAGTAATGGATTGTTCATCTTTCCATATTGTAAGGGAGCTTTTTTTTAAATCTAGATTTTTTTCATTAACATTTTAAAACAATTATTTACTTGTATCTTAAAAGTACAGAGTCAGATCCACTTATACAGAGGTGGCATAATGCTCACATACGTACTCCCTCAGTCCTGGAGTTGATGTTAAAAACAGCCTTTATTCCTTAGGATGTTACTTTCAAATATAATATTTACCATAGATACTTACGATAGAATAAAATTGTTGCCTACTTAAATTTTGTCTTTTCAAGTATTTAATCAACACAGTGTGCTTTGTCTAGAACATAACAAAATCTACATACTATTAAGTAGTGGGACCTTTGCTCCATTAAAATTGTTGTTTGTTATTTTCAAAGGAAAAATACCTAAAGACATACCATAGATAGGCCTCATCATTATCACCCCCTTTCTGCCTCCAATTTGCTAGCAATAGGAGTGTTGCCTGGCTGCAGGAACAGGCCCTTTATCTGCAGCCATGCTTCTCAGTGCACTCAACATTTAAGTCCAAGTCTTTCAAGTAATTATGCTGGTGCCTATAGACCATATAACGGATGCCTTATAAACGCCAGATGCAAACACAGACCTTGGATTAGAAGTCCTATTACCTGGGAAAAGACAGCATCTGGTGAACATCAATACTTAAAATAAATTCCTGTAAATAATTTTTCTGCAGAAAATCTATCATTGCCTCACAATACCTATTTCCATTATTCTTAAATAAATCATTCAATTCTGGACTGATTCATCCCACTCAAGCAGGAAGAGGGAGGGCACAGTTACCTGTAGTTCCCCATGTGTCTGTTTTCATGCTCTTCTTTGGAAATCTGTTTACGAACTTGCACAAGTCTTTCTTTCTAGAAATCAAGTAAGAAAGAATTAAAACTGATTGAGTACAAGCCTTAGAAGGGAAGGAGGAGTAGCTTTGTAAAATTCCTTTATACCAGTTCTTCTCTTCTCCTCTCTAGCGTGTGGCGCTGTTTTTCCCAGTCAGAGGATCCTGGTGACAGTCTTTTCATTGAGCCTTGACCATAAAGTCTCTTTTGAGCCTCAGCTTTTTGTTGGGCTAAGTTTCTCCTTTTATCACTTGTCCTAAAATAGAGATTACATTCAAATATGACTCAATTAATCCGGAAAGCAATAGCTTTTAATCAGGATTAGGAGATGACTACATTACATTGTTATAAACATAGCTGAATTCTTAGTTTTTTATAATGAAATCTTTTGTACATATTTATCTGGCACAGTAACAGGATCTGGTCCCAACATGCAATCAGACCTGCACAGGTGCAGAACCCCCAGTAATTTTAATGGGACTCCATGTAGGCAGACCTCTATAACTGTGCACAATCCCACTGAAATCAATGGGGTTCTGCACAGGCACAGGAGTCTGTCCTCACAGTTCCAATTCCAGGACTAGGGTCTAATGTATTAAACCTCTGTGTAGAGGTTGTCACTCCATACCCTCTTACAACACATGTGAGCTGAGAGGTACTTTCACTGTAAAAGAAACCCCCCGTTTTTTCCTATCAAACACACTATGCTGTAGATCTTATAGAAAAGAGAAAAAATAAATACTGCTTAAGAATGAATTCTTATAGTATCAATTGTTGTGGCTGTGATAACTCTATGCTTTTTAGTACAGTACTGTACTGATTTTGTGCTACCACCCAATGTGCAACCTTGATCTTAATTTACAGTAATTATTTTCCATTAGGTTTACAACTGAAAACTGCACCATTTCCTCCAGTTTACCCCCGCCTCTGTGTTCTGGTGTTAGTAGAAATGGATTGCAGTTGTGAATGCTAGTGCCATCAGATCAAACTACCAAAGTGACAGTGAATCCATGCCAGCACTTACCATCCACACTCTGAGACCTGAGTGAAAAATTATTAAAACAAGAATCAGGAATGGTAATCAATACTTTTTTTTTTTTGTAATGCACACTAATGAGGAGTAAAGTTGAAGCTGAGTCATGTACACATAGTAAAACTGGTAAATAAGAAAACTTTGCCATTCACACAATTTAAGACTGGTAACAAATTTTCCATACTGCACATATCCCATGATTTTCCCACATTCAATAGGAAAAAAGGGCAGTAAACGTCGCGCTCCTATAAAAAAAGTTAGGGTGAGGATTAAAATGCAAGTTTACCTTATATTGAGAAGCTTTAGTGCATTTAGTAGAACACCTTTTTTTACATCATAGTCTATTTTTTGGTCAGTTCCAAAGCTTGGTGCTCGATTAATCTGAAAAATTGAAACACAGAAAATACAAGAATGTTTAACTTCAGTGTATGAAATATACACACATTTTTCATAAAGACTTCTTTTAAAATCTACTGACATGAAAATAATTAGATTAATAAAATAAATGTTAGGAAGCTAATGTCATGAAAACTGAAAGAGAAAACATTTAAAACAAAGTTATCATTATACAGGAATTAAAAGAAAAACCATGAAAAGTCATTAAAAACATGGTGGGAGAAGTTTAGCTACTTTCTTCGTGGAAGGACTCCCATCCAAGGATTTACCAGGCTCATTCTTTCTTAGATAGTCTGATAGATTCGCCTCCTCTGGCAGCATGCGGGCCAAAGATTTTTTGTTGTTCTGTGCCCTGATAGTACGAACACTTACACACATGCTTAACTTTAAGCATGTGGGTAGTCCATGCTTAAAATCAATCATGTAAATAAACGTTGAAAGAAGTGGAGCATTTAATCAATGGGCCTCTGGGGGCAAGAACTCAAACCCAACTCTCATATATCATATTACAGAAAACTGTCACTCGACAGGGCAGATGCATTTTAAATAAGATTTTATGTATGTAAATATTTAAAGTAAAACTACATTGATTAGATATGTTTGGATAAGTTAAAGGTAAACACCAGGCAGTTTTATTCATTTTTCCAATAAGTTAACTTCCTGGCTTTTATGTACACTGCATGCCCAGATACCAGTGAAATTGTAGTTAGATTTTGGGACTTTTGAAATGCTATTTTGGCCCAAATTTTTAAGTCATGATTGCATGCACCCATAGTACATAGAAATAGCCAGAGCCCATGAGCCCACCCACACACAGGATTGCACATGTGCAAATAGGGAACATGGCATGCAGAAGTTCATGCTGATTTTTGAAATTGTGGGCCTTCAAATATCCCTGTATTGTTAACTCTTTAGATTACAGCTGCAGCATTAACAGCAGCATTCCTGCAGAGAACGTGAGAAGTAATTACAGCACATTGTACTGTTTTCATATCTTATATCCTGTCATTTTACTTGAATAATGTAATACAAGTGAATAATATAGTTACACGGGAAATATATTTAATATGCTAATATAGATTAACAGACATTATTATAAAAATGATCTGTGCTACAGGTCTGTCGCATCTTACGCGCATTTAACATGCACGATTTCAACTTTAGGCGGTCGGCAAAAACAAACAAAAAAGAGAAAAATAACAATTTTAATACTATACCTGTAGTGCGGGCGATTTCGCCCGCCATTGAACTCAATGGAATTTTGGCTATACGCGGTTTTCGCTTTACACGCTAACCGTGGAACGGAACCCCCGCGTAAGATGAGACAGACCTGTATGTATCTAAGATAGAAAGGAAAATTCAATTACACTGAAAACTAACTCGATTTTAAAGACCTTTTATTTCTTACAAAGTGGTGATATGGAAGAAAAAGGTTTGCAGCAAACCTGAACAAACATAACCATGTTAGTTGTGTTTTATGAAGGAAGAAGGTGGTTTTGTTATAATAAAACACACAGTGTACAAAACGCTACACTAAGATTTCTGTGGGTATGTGTACACAGCATTTTGGACTGAGACTCCCAGCCCAGGACAAGAGATGTGGGCTAGTGGGGCTCGCACTAGCACTCAAAAAATAGCTGTAAAGACCGCGCTTAGCGAGGGGATGGAAAATGGCTTCTTTGACTTTTTCTAACCACTGAATAGATATTCAGAAGCATTCAACAACCCAAGAAGACTCCAAAATTAAGAGACACAAGGTCAAAAGCCAAAAGACCAACTACTTGAGAAGTGCACTAGTCAGTTTGAAATGCACTGCTTAAAGTACAGTATCTTAATGCTACTATGAAATGTTGTATGGCGGCGAAACATGGGCACTGACGAAGATAGAGGAGCAACAACTGCTTGTCACAGAGAGGGCGATGGAAAGAAGAATTCTGGGGATTTCAATCCGCCACTGAGTCCCCAGTGAAGTGATCAGACAGCAGAGTGGAGTGTGAGATGTCATTGAAAGCAGGTACAGTAAAATGCTATGGGCCGGGCATTTATCTAGGCTCACTGACAATTGATGGACTGCAGCTATCATGAGTGGTACCCACGAGAACTGAAATGACCACTCGGCCGACCTTCAAAGAGATGGGAAGATTTTATTGTGAAAAGGCCTGGCCGCACGTGGAGAAGGAAGGCCAGGATAAGAGAAGGATGGAAGACGTGTTGTGATCTGCGCAATCTATACGAAGGCTGAAGGACCGAGCTTTCAAGGTGATCAAGGTGATGATTAAATTCATTTTAACAAAAAGGAAACTTGAGACCTATTTACTGTAGTAAAGTTTTTTTTATTATAGATACACACACGATGGCTCAGACACAAATGACCGCTAACAAAAAGCAATTGTATGCAGCATTCGAATAATGTTTTAGAAAGAAGCAGTAAAGATGATCTGCAAAACCTTTTAGTTAAAGATTCACATTAAGTGACAGAAGATTAGTACAGACTTCATAATTATAAACAGCTACATTTAAAAAAATAAAGATTGGAAAATCATTTCCTCCTTCATTTATGCACCAAGTCCCGAATTCAGGCCAAGGATTCTGGGTTTCCAATACAAAGCTGATGCCATCTCAAATGCCTGCTGTACTGCCTGCATTAGGGGTTTGAGATGTCAAGGAAACACTTAATTCTAATCCCCTGATTTAGTAGGAAAACGAAGAAGGAAATGATTTTTTTTGTATTATTCATTTTATCAGCTTAAAGTTGGATACCTATTCTGTTACTGATCTAGGATATTGCACATATTTCTTTTCATAAGCTTTGTTACTTTATGTATTTAAGATGCAAGAGGCCTGCTATCTGTAAACTGTAAACAGACAGTTCAAATCTGTGGCTAAGTGCTGCCACCAGACTTCAAAGGCAGGATGCCACGTTCTTCCTCCAGCCTGGCCACTACACTCAGCACCACTTTGCTGATGGCTGGGCTTCTTCTCGAGTTTTACTCCAGAAACTAATTTGGAAGCAGCTCTCAATTTAGCTTCTACATGTGAATGTAATATTTCAGAGGCCCTGCTGTTTGCCTTGTGCTGTTGGGCACACAGAGGAGGAAAGGAGTGGAAACAGGAGTCTGAGGCTTGTTTTACACTAGTAACTTTTGTCAATATAAGTACGTTGCTCAGGGGTGTGGAAAATCCACACCCTTGAGCAATGTAGTCATACCAAACTAATCCCCAGTGTAAACAGCTATGTTTATGGAAGGACTTCTCCCATTGCCATAGCTACCGCTTCTCAGGGTGGTGGAGCACCTACACCAATGGGATAAGCTCTCCCATTGGCATAGATAGTGTCTTTACTAAGCACTACAGCCGCACGGTAAGTACAGACAAGCCCTGAGGAAGAAACCTCCCTGTTTAAGTAGTCTTTAAGCCTCTAACAATGCATTAACAGGCCTTTAGAACCCATGACAATACCTTTTCCAGGCTCCATCCAATGGCTGCCAAGAAAGAACTAATACCCTATTACCTAAATGGAATATGACCACTAGTGTCTTTCTTCAAGGCAGAGATTGCCAGGGAACCTAACCAGAGAGTGAAGTGGCTGAGCTCAGTTGGAATGAATTCTTCACCAATAGGGAACTAGAGAAAGAGTTTGACAGACTCTGCATTTGGATGGATATATGAGCCATTTGGCCACAAAAGCCCTTTTGGCCTACTTTGAACAAACTCTCTAACTAAAACTTTTAAACTGTTTTTCCTTCACCTTTCTTCCACCTGCCTAATCTGCCCTGGTATCTGCTTCTATTAGCACTTTTCTTGGTGGGTCATTTATACAATAAACGTTTTGGTGCTAATTTATAAATGGATTCATCCCACGAAGATACTAGCCATGTCATACTCCAGATTACCTGGGGCAGACCATCACCAAAACAGATTTGAACAATCAACATCCAAGCTAGTTTATAGTCATTAAGCATATGGGGTAACACAGAGAAGAGAAAAACTGCTGGGTAAATAATAGATGTGTACAAACACATTATTGCTGACAAGAGTCCAGTATGTTGAGACATTTTGTAGATTATATTTTTATAATCTCACAATCCTATCTGCTGAAGAATTTGTTTAATACTAATGATTCTTTAGTTACTCTGATTTTTAAACAGTTACTGAACTTATTTCAGAATTGTCAGTGTGAGTTTGTAATTTCTCCAGTTGAAGTCCTCAAACTTTGTTTCTAAAATTAAAAGTTGCACAAATGTTGTGCATACATTTGCACAAGACAGGCGTACACAGTTAGATTGCAGTTTTATTGTCATGCATATTACATAATTGTATACTTGTCAAATTTGAAAGAATGGCACAATTGCCAAATCTGTAATTCTTAATATAAATAGCTATAAACTTGTATAGCTACTTATGCTATCTAAAGATCTCATCTGTTTTCATTTGCAAGGGGATCTGATTTTATAAGATGAAAGGAATGGTTTTTAACCTCTGGCTAATGCATAAGACACTAATTGTCTAGAAGTCAATAAGTCAAATGAAACCACATCACCCACAAAACCAAAACACTGGGGGTTAGGATTTAGCAACTGTCATGTTATCTGATTAAAATATCCCACATATATCATTGTTGCTACCACTGTTATACAACTGCAACAAATCTTGTACAAAGTATGTCAAATAAGGTGTCTATGGAAAGGTTATGATTTGCCAAATATGATTATGCTAATTTGTATGCATGTATCATTTTTGTATCTGACGTTATGAATATTAACTATGTACCTGTATTTCAAATGTTTGCTCCTGTGGTAACACCCACCAGGTACTTAGCCTGCACACCTTGAAGCGACTATTCAAGTTAAATGGCCCATCAAGGAACACTTAACTCACATCCGATATGCATCCGAAGAAGTGGGCTGTAGCCCATGAAAGCTTATGCTCTAATAAATTTGTTAGTCTCTAAGGTGCCACAAGTACTCCTGTTCTTTTTGCGGATA